AAGTCATACTATCAAGTCTTTAAAAGAAGCAAATGTCTTTAATGACGTTTCTTTATCAAGATATGATACAAGGAGAAATCTTAACTGACGTCATTGAAGCAAGTCTTTCAATTAAGGAACTTTCTTGGCTTATTAAACACACACAAAAAAAAAACTTTCTGAAGTCATAATACCATGTCTGTTTAAACGAAGCAAAAATCCATCCGGATAATGTCACGATACATAGAAATATCTGGATAATGTCAAAATACTACGTTAAATAGGGAACTTTCATAGATTACGTCATAGTTCAGGGTATTTAAAATAAGGAACTATTTGAGATGAAGTCATACTATCAAGTCTTTAAAAGAAGCAAATGTCTTTAATGACGTTTCTTTATCAAGATATGATACAAGGAGAAATCTTAACTGACGTCATTGAAGCAAGTCTTTCAATTAAGGAACTTTCTTGGCTTATGTCAAAATATTAAGTTTTAGAAAATGTTCTTTATGACGTCATATTACTTCGACATGACGTCAACGTATTTTGACATTAAAATGATAAATTTTCTTCGAAGAAGTAATGATACATGTGCCTCGACTTTGAAGTAAGGAACTTAACCTGATGACGTCATAACACGTCGAATATAGAATAAAAAAAGTTGGATGAAGCGGAGTCACTCTGTTAAAATAGGGAACATTTTAACGGTATCAAAATTAAAAAAGAAAAAAAGAAAATAGGGAACTATAATGACGTCAGTCTGCATTGTTGTCAGAAACTACCATGTGCTTATTCAGTGCAAAAGTCAGGGAGGTATTCGGAATAGAAACCTGTTTGATACGTGCTACATTCCATTTAAGCTGACTTCCGGCCTGATTCTTGTCTCATTCATTGAGTGATATTAGTACCACTAAAAAGTATTAAATATTTACCACTGTATTCAGTCGTTACTTGACTGGTTTGTATATTTGTCTATAATAGATTGGAGAGGCTCTCATGGGCTGTGCCATTTGTCCAATTCCTTCTGTCATTAATATCATGACAATGAAATATTCTGAAAAAATTGTTTTAAATGAACATATTGACGACTGTTTCGTGTTCCCAACTTCCGGCAGAAAACACGAGCGAGACACCGTACCTAAATCAAACACACCGTACCTAACTTAAACACGCTGACAAAGATAAAACATGTTTTCTGGGATTTCCTCCTTGGCCTGTCTATATAAATAAACCGGAATGCACTATTTGCCTGTAAAACAACCATTGTGTCTTTGGAAACCCGTGTCTTTAGGCCCGATAATTCTCTTGTATTGATATCAAAATCATTGTGAACAGTAAAAAAAACTTAATGCCATTCCAATGACTGAAAACACGCGCATGTATCCACGTATAGAGTTTTCACAGGAACAAGTCCTTGTGCAGTTCCGACTTCACAAACAAAAGTGGTTTTAAATGCAGTTGTATGTAAAATAATATTTTGATATGGCAGATACTTGAGATTAGGGAACGAAATACAGTTACTGGGTCACAATAGACTGTAATAATTTATCACTTTATCTCGATAGTCCAAGATTACTTATCTCAAGAATAATATTTTCCCACATACATTTCCCTGCACGTGATTGTTCACCAGACACAACAAACCTGCTTCTTGAATTAAGTTAAAAAGTGCATTATTGACGTAAGCACAAAGCTTCATAAAAACAGCATGTCTCTGAGGTGAAAAGCCGGAAGCCAGATTCACTTCCGGTGGCGATCAAAGCCAGAAGAGCACAAAGATTTTGGGTTCTATAAGGTTTATCTGGCACTGTTTGATAAGTTTAAAGACTGCTACATCTGCACATTACACAATTTGGCTGATTCGCCAATAGGCTTTTACGTAATGATAACAAGATGGTATGTGAAGTCGATTATTCAAATTTATCTAGTCTTTAATTCATGGGAGTAGTCTTTCTTTCGGCAAGCAAGCGTGTAACCATTTCAGATGGATTGGATGGAGTATTTGAAACTCCTGTCTTTGATTCTGTATATCAGAGGTATTACACACGAGATCCACGGTGTTGGAACAATTAGATCTACACTTACATACTGTATCTCGTTTTAGTATCAAACAGATTAGGTATAATCTAGACTAAACAAAAAATGCCATAGTTTGCAAATAATTCCTATGGCGTTTCTGTTCATGCTTAAACATTCAAACTTGAATTCGATAAAACCAGGTCAAATTAGATATAAAAAGATATTGATATGGAGATCCTGGAAAAGTACATGGAGAATGACGCCAGGTGTTCCAGAAGAGTAAGTGTCTTATACTTCATCGGCATCAATCGCCATGTAAATCTTGGTCAATCCAATAATAATTTCTCGTCCGTCATGAGAAAAAGGTAAACAAATTGAATTCATTTATCGAACCAACTGCGGCATGTGAACACCACAGGTGAGGGAAGCAGGGCTATAAATTGTACCAGAATGAAAACACGTGGTTCATCGGGTAAATCATAAAGCATTCTTCCTCTCAGGTTTAAAGGATACAAAGTCAGTTTGGGTAAGGGTGAAGAGAGTGGCGAGCCTCTGTCGACACTGACCGTGTATTCTATTTATCCTGTCATATTGATCGAAAATCAATCAAAACTCAAACAGTTATTTTGTTGCCTTATCACGTACGCGAAAATTAATGCTCCGCGCTGAAATATAGTTCCAAATTGCAACGAATATGTCGGTGAGTTTATGAATATTCGTAAATAACTTGACAACGCATACATTTTCTTATTTAAATGGGGTCTTTTTATATTGTGAAACGTTTTATTTAAATAAGTTCAGGAAGTCATTCTGTTGAATTAACGCACGTGCTAAAATACAGCTGTTTTCAGTCACTGCCGAATACAGCAAAAATATATGTGGCAGATGTATTCTGACCATGGCGGTGCCAGTTGCAGGATAAAATCCTTTATCTGTTGTATTCTACAAATGCGATAAAATTATCTTATCAGATTAGTGAAAACACGAAGTTATCGTAGTTAGGATGGTGTCGTCAAATGATATCTAAAAGATATGATGAAAGGACACGTGATAATTAAATTATAATTTTTTCTTTATCCAGAAATAATATGAGAAAATGAGTTTTCAGTTTTATGAATGTAGAATTCCTTGGCTGCTTGATCAAACTGTGGCCTATATCGACTACCACCCAATAACAACATCGTCTTGGAGAAGAACGGCTAGTGGCTGTTTATGTAGATGTAGTAGAATTTCGGTGTAGTTTCATCATTTCCTAATCACTTGTGTACTAGAGGCTGGTGGATATAACTTGTGTGACGGTTACCAGTCTTAAGTGATTTAGAACGTATGTTTATTGTGAACCATTGAAATAAAACGTTACTGTGTTACTGTGTCTTGTCAGCAAATGTCACGTAAGGTACATTGTTCCACAGACGGTAAAAACGGGCTAGGATTATCATGAAGTTCTCGTCTTTATTTTGTTTTGTTTCTGTTCCGTTCATTCCTTTTGATATCGTCAGTCAGTTCGATATTGCCTCAATGTATAGAAGCCGCGGTATTTATCCTGAGTTATCGCTCTAACTATACATTTTCCATTGGGAACCGAGACCATCACAGTCGTCGTCACGTTTACTATCACTATCTGTAATAACGCGGGAAAACAAATTAAAACGCTCTAAAAACCAAGATCTAGTTGGCCGGCAAAAGTAATCGATAAGCGGGGGAATAAAAGTACGAATCTGTGTAATAAAAAGTGACATTACGTACACCGAGGGTTAATCTCAACCTACCGCTCTCCATACCGGACAGGATGAGTATTCATAGCGAGATCGACGGGACGGAAACAACTCAGAAACATATAACAAAGCCGATATTTAATAAACACAGTGAAATGGACCAGTGAAATACGACATCAGAAAGCATAAAACTTCAATTCCCGGCTATTTACACGTGTTTAAAATCAGATCACTGACGCGCCCAGTTCTCAGATAATACACATATACAGTTCAATGTCAGTATATAACATATCGTGTGCATCCTTAGACAGTAGGTGTCTGAAAATGTGGTATACCCAAGGCGATCACTTCTGTTGTGTGTGGTCCTTTGATATACTTTGGCACGTGCTGATTTGTCAGAATTCTGCTGCATATAATCAATCGATCGATTTGCTCCCCCCTACCCCCTCTTTTATCGCTATCTGCAGCAAATGGACTGGAAATATCCGTTCTGTTGACTTATTAATAATGTTGATAGCGGTCCTTAGTTCAATACCAGTAATTTGTATTCACACCAGAGCCAACAGGGATATATATATTTGTTTAAATGAATGACATATCAGTGAGTTTAAGACACTTGTTACCCTGAGAGACATACAACTGGGCTGTACATCTAGACATCAACAGAAAACAGACTACACTATTGTGATTTTAACTTGTCTATTGGCCGCATACATCTTCTCCAGCTGTTTTATTAGTTTGGAATTCGTTTAATATAGAATTTACGATAGACCGAAGTAATTGTCTATGGAAATTCCCACAGAATCCATTGTATTGTTCATTCTCCTCTGGAGGACAACGTGAGGGGATCCTCCGGGGATAATACAGTTCCCTCTAGTGGTGAAGTCTACATTTAGCCAGGTACGGACTTTAATACCTGTCATCTTCTGTCAGCTTAATAATACTGGAAATCTGGACTTTATTATAAAAGTTAAACGCGAACAAACATAAGTGGTTTCTAGATAGAACGATAACGACAATGAACAGTTTTGAATACCACATGAAGTGCCAGATCACGTGTTAAATTTTAAAAGGACATCACATCAATGTTGACCTAGTCTTTTGTGACAGATACACGACAGTGGGATGTAAGTTTGATGGAGGATGTCTATGACTAGGTGTGTGAATCTGACGGGTCCGTTTGGCAAAGGCGCAACAGTACCTGGACGGTATATATATCGTATGGTATCAATAGATTAGGTGATGAGTTTGACCAGGTGAAGCGATGTAACTGACCAGCTCTGGACAATGGACAGATGGATTCACTCTGAGATTCTCGCAGTTGTAAGTAACCTTATAGTTTTTAGACGTCCACCAGATTTGATATAGTATGAACATAATTACTTCATGTTTTATGTGTCGACGTTGGCCTGTTTAGTCATTCGACCCCAACCTGACTATACAATGTTTTCAAAATTAAACCACAATTACATGTACATGATAGTGAAATAGAAACATCAAAATTAGAAAACTGCAGTTACCATGGCAATGTAACCGTTCCTTACGCCATTGTGGGCGCAAACGCATTTTATTCAATATAACAGCTACATACACTCTGTCTCGTTGATGACACGTGACATTTACAACAGACCACGTCTCAATTTCTAGGGAAAATCTAAGACGATTTTAGAGGCAGGTACATATGGAGAGCCAGACATTGTACAGGTACATACACACTGACTTGTTAATGACACGTGACATTTACAACAGACCACGTCTCAATTTCTAGGGAAAATCTAAGACGATTTTAGAGGAGGAATGTACTAAATATTTCTCTCTTCGTGCGTTCATAACACTGTAAACGCCATAAGACCATGTCTTTACATCTGTTACATTTGACTGGTGTTGTTTGGAGTGTAACACATCATTATATTACTGTATTACACCAGGTACGTTTAGATATGATAAACATGGTGTTAAGGGTAGCTTAATACCAAGCTAATAGTTGTCACAATTTGATTGAAATAGAAATAATCCGCCATTAGTAACATAACTGACACATTATATGAGATCAAATTAAACCTCAAAGATACCATGGTTTCCAAGACGTGAGGCGTGAATGGTGAACAGTTGATTAAAACTAGGCATTCTAGATTTAAAAGATTTTTAAATTGATACATGCAGTCTTAAACATGTACTGTGCATTATTGGCCAGTAAGGTAGGTGATTGGTAAAGACTTAATTAACTGGATAGTGCTGTACCAGCATGTTGTATTTTTGAAACTGTACAAGTTCTTCATATCCCACTGATTATCAATATTAATAATTAAATCAACTTTCATCAAAGTCGAATGAAACACCGCGAGACATCATGGTCTACAGCTGTACAGGTACATCTGTGGAGAGACCTGGTACTGTACAGGTACATCTGTGGACAGACCTGGTACTGTACAGGTACATCTGTGGACAGACCTGGTACTGTACAGGTACATTTGTAGACAGACCTGGTACTGCACAGGTACTTCTGTGGTCAGACCTGGTACTGTACAGGTACGTCTGTAGACAGACATGATACTATATAGGTACATCTGTGGACAGACCGGGTACTGTACAGGTATATATTTAGACAGACCTGACACTGTACTGGTACATCTGTAGACAGACCTGCCACTGTACAGGTACATCTGTAGACAGACCTGGTACTGTACAGGTACATCTGTAGACAGACATGGTGCCACTGTACAGGTACATCTGTAGACAGACCTGGTACTGTACAGGCACATCTGTGGACAGACCTGCCACTGTACAGGTACATCTGTGGACAGACCTGGTACTGTACAGGTACATCTGTAGACAGACCTGGTACTGTACAGGTACATATGCAGACAGACCTGGTACTGTACAGGTACATCTGTGGACAGACCTGGTACTGTACATGTACATCTGTAGACAGACTTGGTACTGTACAGGTACATCTGTGGACATACCTGCCACTGTACAGGTACATCTGTAGACAGACCTGGTACTGTACAGGTACATCTGTAGACAGACCTGGTACTGTACAGGTACATCTGTAGACAGACCTGGTACTGTACAGGTACCTCTGTAGACAGACCTGCCGCTGTAAGGTACATCTGTGGACAGACCTGCCACTGTACAGGTACATCTGTAGACAGACCTGGTACTGTACAGGTACATCTGTAGACAGACATGGTACTGTACAGGCACATCTGTGGACAGACCTGCCACTGTACAGGTACATCTGTTGACAGACCTGGTACTGTACAGGTACATCTGAACACAGACCTGCCACTGTACAGGTACATCTGTGGACAGACCTGGTACTGTACAGGTACATCTGTGGACAGACCTGCCACTGTACAGGTACATCTGTGGACAGACCTGGTACTGTACAGGTACATATGTAGACAGACCTGCCACTGTACAGGTACATCTGTGGACAGACCTGGTAATGTACAGGTACATCTGTGGACAGACCTGCCACTGTACAGGTACATCAGTGGACAGACCTGGTACTGTACAGGTACGTCTGTAGACAGACATGATACTATATAGGTACATCTGTGGACAGACCGGGTACTGTACAGGTACATATTTAGACAGACCTGACACTGTACTGGTACATCTGTAGACAGACCTGCCACTGTACAGGTACATCTGTAGACAGACCTGGTACTGTACAGGTACATCTGTAGACAGCCCTGGTACTGTACAGGTACATCTGTGGACAGACCTGCCACTGTACAGGTACATATGTAGACAGACCTGCCGCTGTACAGGTACATCTGTGGACAGACCTGGTACTGTACAGGTACATCTGTGGACAGACCTGGTACAGTACAGGTACATCTGTGGACAGACCTGGTACTGTACAGGTACATCTGTAGACAGCCCTGGTACTGTACAGGTACATCTTCGGACAGACCTGGTACTGTACAGGTACATCTGTGGACAGACCTGGTACAGTACAGGTACATCTGTGGACAGCACTGGTACTGTACAAGTACCACCTGTGGACAGACCTGGTACTGTACAGGTACATCTGTGGACAGACCTGGTACTGTACAGGTACATATGTAGACAGACCTGGTACTGTACAGGTACATTTGTGGACAGACCTGATAAAGTTAAATTTCCCTGTACAATGTATTTTTGACTCTCACTCAATCAGCCGGGGTTCAGCTACCTTTCTAGTGAAATAGTATGGAGGTACCTGCCGGATTCCTTTAACAAGTGGAGGCTGTAGTAAGCTTGGTTGTTGTGTTACGATTCATTTTTATGTTATGTAGATGTTTCTCAGACCACATGTCTGTCGATATTAAACAAAGTGTAAACTTTACATTAACATGCTGTCATTATGTCTATAATCTTCTTATATCATATGTTCAGGAAAGATTTAATTGTTGTTTGTTGATAAACTGTAAATCACATTATTGCATGTGAAATAAATTCTTTTTATTGATATGTTGATATGTCAAACCGCAGTAAACGAAAGATTGGTTTGTCAATTACTAATACATTGCATATTTTTTTTTATTTACTTACCATTTTTATTTTATTTTTTATTTGCATCTGTTCAAACTGCACCCATTGATACTAAATAACAAATAAGCGAAACCTGATATATTACATTTATGAAAAAATATAATTTTTTAAAATGAAATATTCAAATGGGATTTACGATTTCCTGTCACCGAACCATCAAAATGTTATATAAATATCTTTCATTTTAAAGTTAAGAAAAATTAATTATCAAAATCTCTCGCACATGGCATCTTCTAATATTTTGTGCAGCAAGTCAAACCATTACTGGTGGTCGTTGCACCGTACACCGATCTCTGTACCGTAGTATGACAGGAGTTGATGGTGATGGAGGAGATAGTCAGTCTTGTTTGTGATTACCAGACATTGTGTCATGTGTGATAACATCGTGTAAAATGTGACGAAACTGAGGCAGACTTTTATCCCGTGATACAAATAAGTTGGAGACTTATAAATAATTGACAACAGTGTCCGTGTGTGACACGGATGATAATATCGTTAACACCTTGGTTTTGTTACATCAACAGTTTCGGAAATGCCTTTGCTGCCGACGTAAGGAAAGACAATGGAACCCGATAAACCACAGAAAAAACTCCAAGAGAATCCGAAGAGAAGACACACACGTTGTAAGTTACAAACTAATAACAAATAATGCCTTTGTGATACATCACAACGTATTTGTAGGTTTTAAGGAAATATGTATCTTAGTAATTATTTACAGCTAATATAGGAATACACACCACAAAGCTACACTAACACTGAACGTGTGATTAGAATTTAACAAAAATTGAAATACTAACAGAATCTTTCTTCAAACTCAAACACGACGGTACTAGGACAAAATATAAACAAAAATATAGATTTACACGGAGACTCATGAGAAAATAATACAACGGTGATCAGACCAGGTGTTTCGGAAGGGTAACCGCCGTTTGTTCCATTGGCGAAACCTGTCTTGAAAATATTGGTCAATTCAAGTGAGTAGTGTCACGTTCCTAAATGGGAACACGGTAATCAACAACAGACCTACCAAGTCAATCATTTCTGTATACGATACAGAAGATTCAATCCAATAACACACTTGTAATATTGAAGACAAATCATTAAACAGTTCTATATATGTAGCTGTAACTTTGAGAGCCAATAGTAAACGGTATCTCTCCTATCAACTCCTCTGTCAATATTTAGAAAAAAAAGACAATTCATTCTTCAAGAGGTGAACCATTCTTAGATTCTCGCACATTCTGTCACTGCTGAAGTCACTGTACCTTCACAATCATTACGATATCAGTAAAACAGTCTTTTGTTACTATAAGGACATCAAATTCTGTATGTTTTACTCTGTGTAGCACAATATCATCTATAAGTCAGGAGTAGTGGGTCGGAGGATCTGTTATGTACAGGTCACTACATGTAAAACGATTCATGACACTGTAGTCACCAAATTCAACAATAGTTTGTCGGAAGACAAGTTATGGTCATGTTACTGAACAAACACGAGACTGTAGTCACCAAATTCGACAATAGTTTGTCGGAAGACAAGTTATGGTCATGTTACTGAACAAACACGAGACTGTAGTCACCAAATTCGACAATAGTTTGTCGGAAGACAAGTTATGGTCATGTTACTGAACAAACACGAGACTGTAGTCACCAAATTCGACAGTAGTTTGTCGGAAGACAAGTTATGGTCATGTTACTGAACAAACACGAGACTGTAGTCACCAAATTCGACAGTAGTTTGTCGGAAGACAAGTTATGGTCATGTTATTGAACAAGCACGACACTGTAGTCACCAAATTCGACAGTAGTTTGTCGGAAGACAAGTTATGGTCATGTTACTGAACAAACACGACACTGTAGTCACCAAATTCGACAATAGTTTGTCGGAAGACAAGTTATGGTCATGTTATTGAACAAACACGAGACTGTAGTCACCAAATTCAACAATAGTTTGTCGGAAGACAAGTTATGGTCATGTTACTGAACAAACACGACACTGTAGTCACCAAATTCAACAATAGTTTGTCGGAAGACAAGTTATGGTCATGTTACTGAACAAACACGACACTGTAGTCACCAAATTCAACAATAGTTTGTCGGAAGACAAGTTATGGTCATGTTACTGAACAAACACGACACTGTACTGTCTGTAGTCACCAAATTCGACAGTAGTTTGTCGGAAGACAAGTTATGGTCATGTTACTGAACAAACACGACACTGTAGTCATCAGAGTTTGTGTGGCAGGACAAAAATATAATAATACAATATGTCGATATCTAACCAATAAATCGATTATGCGTAGTCACGTAATCATTGGCGAGTTAATTTGTGCTTGGCCGGCTCGTCCGAAATCCGACTGGTCAGCAGAGGGTCATAATACTGGCCATGAAATGCCACTACAATAGAGCTCTTTACGGTCTCAGAACACAACTAACTTGGTAACAATGACTATTATGTTCTGTCACGATTCGTTAATATACGACGAGTAATCAAACTAGTCTTTACTGATCTCCAATTAAATCAGTAATTGACATGATTACCATAGCAACGGTCACACATACCCTAGTGACGATCACTCATGCCGTAGTGTCAATAAACAGCTGTACATATCACAGTAATAACCAACATGTTGTATCATTAAAAACACATATCACAGTGACAGTGCTACACATCATAGTGACGGTCACAAATACCAAAGTAACGGTCACACACATCACAGTGACGGTCACACATACCAAAGTAACGGTCACACACATCATAGTGACGGTCACACATACCAAAGTAACGGTTACGCACATCATAGTGACGGTCACAAATACCAAAGTAACGGTCACACACATCATAGTGACGGTCACAAATACCAAAGTAACGGTCACACACATCATAGTGACGGTCACTAATACCAAAGTAACGGTCACACACATCATAGTGACGGTCAAACATACCAAAGTAACGATCACACACATCACAGTGACGGTCACAAATACCAAAGTAACGGTCACACATACCATAGTAACGGTCACACATATTATACTAACAGTCACACATACCATAGTGACGGTCAAACATACCAAAGTAACGGTCACACACATCATAGTGACAGTCACACATACCATAGTGACAGTCACATATATCATAGTAACGGTCACACATATCATAGTAAAGGTCACACATACCATAGTAACGGTCACACATATTATACTAACAGTCACACATACCATTGTGACGGTCACACATATCATAGTGACGGTCACACATACCATAGTGACAGTCACACATATCATAGTGACAGTCACACATATCACGGTGACAGTCACATATATCATAGTAACGGTCACACATATCATAGTAAAGGTCACACATACCATAGTAACGGTCACACATATTATACTAACAGTCACACATATCATAGTGACAGTCACACATATCATAGTAACGGTCACACATATCATTGTAACGGTCACACATATCATTGTAACGGTCACATATATCAAAGTAACGGTCACTCATATAATTGTAACGGTCATACATATCATTGTAACGGTCACACATATCAAAGTAACGGTCACTCATATCATAGTGACAATTACATATATTACAGTGACAGTCACACACACCATAGTGACAGTCACACATATCATAGTAACGGTAACACATATCATATTAACGGTCACACATACCATAGTGACGGTCACACATATCATAGTAACGGTAACACATATCATAGTAACGGTCACACATACCATAGTGACAGTCACACATATCATAGTGATGGTCACACATATCATAGTGATGGTCACACATACCATAGTGACGGTCACACATATCATATTAACGGTCACACATATCATAGTAACGGTCACACATACCATAGTGACAGTCACACATATCATAGTAACGGCCACACATATCATAGTGACAGTCACACATATCATAGTGACGGTCACACATATCATAGTGACGGTCACACATAACATAGTAACGTTGGTATAACATAAACTGTACGTTTAATAATTATATTCCCACACGTGACAATAACATTTCATTACTGTTTGAAATTTTCAGCATTTTGCCAAGAAGGTGAATAAGGTGATGCCCCTCCAGTACGAACACACCTTTACTAGCTCCGACACGAGCCTGAGGAACTCGCTCCCTAAATCGCCGTCAGAGGAAAGCTTTTATCTTGAAGATTTTGACGGTAAGTTTTGATTGCTGTTATCGTCACTAGTAACTATCACTTGTTGGACATCATCCTAGTAATGACATAGATAGCACGATACGACATAACAAAACTTATCATCATTCTGCAATATTTGTATCTAAAAGAATTAAACATTACGGATGTAGGTGTAGCGAAAATAACGGAACAACACAACATCAGGACAGTCCCATTATGGTTGTAGGTATAGTTAGATGAAGAGGACAGTCTCACTGTGTTTGTAGTATAGTTAGATGAAGAGGACAGTCCAATTATGGTTGTAGGTATAGTTAGATGAAGAGGACAGTCCCACTATGTTTGTAGTATAGTTAGATGAAGAGGACAGTCCCACTGTGTTTGTAGTATAGTTAGATGAAGAGGACAGTCCCACTGTGGTTGTAGTATAGTTAGATGAAGAGGACAGTCCCACTGTGTTTGTAGTATAGTTAGATGGAGAGGACAGTCCCACTGTGTTTGTAGTATAGTTAGATGAAGAGGACAGTCCAATTATGGTTGTAGGTATAGTTAGATGAAGAGGACAGTCCCACTATGTTTGTAGTATAGTTAGATGAAGAGGACAGTCCCACTGTGTTTGTAGTATAGTTAGATGAAGAGGACAGTCCCACTGTGTTTGTAGTATAGTTAGATGAAGAGGACAGTCCCACTGTGGTTGTAGTATAGTTAGATGAAGAGGACAGTCCCACTGTGTTTGTAGTATAGTTAGATGGAGAGGGCAGTCCCACTGTGTTTGTAGTATAGTTAGATGAAGAGGACAGTCCAATTATGGTTGTAGTATAGTTAGATGAAGAGGACAGTCCCACTATGTTTGTAGTATAGTTAGATGAAGAGGACAGTCCCACTGTGTTTGTAGTATAGTTAGATGAAGAGGACAGTCCCACTGTGTTTGTAGTATAGTTAGATGAAGAGGACAGTCCCACTGTGTTTGTAGGTATAGTTAGATGAAGAGGACAGTCCCACTGTGTTTGTAGTATAGTTAGATGAAGAGGACAGTCCCACTGTGGTTGTAGTATAGTTAGATGAAGAGGACAGTCCCACTGTGTTTGTAGTATAGTTAGATGAAGAGGACAGTCCCACTGTGTTTGTAGTATAGTTAGATGAAGAGGACAGTCCAATTATGGTTGTAGGTATAGTTAGATGAAGAGGACAGTCCCACTATGTTTGTAGTATAGTTAGATGAAGAGGACAGTCCCACTGTGTTTGTAGTATAGTTAGATGAAGAGGACAATCCCACTGTGTTTGTAGTATAGTTAGATGAAGAGGACAGTCCCACTGTGGTTGTAGTATAGTTAGATGAAGAGGACAGTCCCACTGTGTTTGTAGTATAGTTAGATGGAGAGGACAGTCCCACTGTGTTTGTAGTATAGTTAGATGAAGAGGACAGTCCCACTGTGGTTGTAGGTATAGTTAGATGAAGAGGACAGTCCCACTGTGTTTGTAGGAAGAGTTAGATGAAGAGGACTGTCCCACTGTGTTTGTAGTATAGTTAGATGAAGAGGACAGTCCCACTATGTTTGTAGGTATAGTTAGATGAAGAGGACAGTCCCACTATGGTTTTAGGTGTAGGTACATCATTGATAATGTCATGAGTTTCGATCCACAATTCATGTGACGTTGATGATGGCGCGATGAATAGGTTTCATAAAAACTTACAATTTGTTAATGTTTTTTTCAAGTATGTGAGAACAATAATCAAACATTGGTCCGTTCCGTGGACAGAGATATCGCAACCTTCGTGTAAGAGTTTTAGCTGGTCACCACTCGGCAAACCTTGCCCGACAAGACTTTTTTGACCATCCAAATCCTTACACGAGGCCTGAGAAATCCACGGAACAGCACATGTAACATTCTTTTAGTCTCTGCAATTTTCACGTGTTTTATTATTGTTAAACATTGGGATCTATAAATGCCCGACTATTTCTTGTTTCCTTTTCATTCGTTCTGATGACATTAGGGTGAGGGTGGTTAGGGAGAATCGATTCTTTTATATATCTTGTTTTATCATTTTATGTTTAACAAAATGTCTATACCCATCTCAAGGCCTGTTAGCTTTGTTGAGCTGTTCCTGAATGCATGATAAGGTTCTCTGCTGGAACTGTCATCTGTAAAATCCTTCGCAATATGTGTTTAATAGGTTGGGGCTCACCTTGTTATCCGAGATTGCTTGGCTTTTTTACTCCCACAGATCACCTCTTCCATAGATAAGTTTTACACGTTTAAGTATCAGTACTTCATTTATCTCAGTAGTTTGCATTCCTGTATATGATATTTCTAGATTCCTTCCAACAATTGTCCTCAGACATCCATTTCAATGAAGGCTGTAAAGTATTATTATCTGTTAGGATCCAATGTTTGATACCATTCCATCATCCTCATCAAAGGTTTTAGCGAAAAGGTTGTATCATGGTTAAGATTACGGAAATATTTTACAATCTAAAAATTACTACATTTGTTTACCCTGGTGTGATATGAAGTTGGGTGCTGTCGATATGTGTTAATATGCCTGTTGGTTCGGCTGTTGTTTACCTTGTTCTAGGAAACATGACATTATTTACTTGTATTGAACAACATTTACATGGTTTGAGTCGTCGATGAAGCAAAAGACGCTTACCCTTCCGGAACACATTGTCCTATTTTCCATGACGTTTACGTGTTTCTTTCGTTAACACTTGCATCAGTTTCATTTGATATTGCTATTTCATATCGATACTTCCTTTGTTTATTTAACACTTTTGGTGCACAATCATCACTAATTAGTCGCCAAAGGGAGATAAAATTTGTATGATTAATTTTAATTTATTATCTGGTACAACCTGTTTATATAATACTTATTTTGCATGGATAAGTGTTAATTGTTTGTGTGATTGACGTACAATCTTTATAGAACATGTTAATATCAGGTTAAAGGTGTGGTCGCATATTTCTAAACCTTCCATTTCTCCTTTTTTGAAAATTAAGAGATGTTGCCAAAATGTTTTTGTAATTTGGAATGCACTAAATCGAGAAAGGTATCTTATCCCTTCATTTTGCCTAGTTAAACATTTACATTGAACGCTATCTAGAAAATCATTTTAGGAGAGCTATTATGTTAGTTGAAACAAATATTGTTTGTGTAAATTAAAATTCCTCTTCCCCGGTGTGTAGAATTTAGGAATAAATCAACATTAAGTTAAATTTTCTCTATCCTATCTTGATTGATTTTTTTGTTATTTGTTTTTTAGTGTGTGTGTTTTTTTGTGTGTGTATTTCAGTCAAGACGTGGTCTATTCTAGCTTCCAGCTCTTTTTGCTTACTTCTTGAGCAGACTGCTGATATTGCTATACATAATTTCAGGATTTATTAAAGAATCCTTCTTTAGTGTATTTAAAAATGTTGAATTCTTTGTTCCATTAAAACTAATTTCCAATGTCTCAGCTCAGTAATTATCTTCCTCCTGATCATATGGTCCTTGATAACTTCTTTTTTTGGGCTCTTGGGTAGCTTAGTCGATGGAGTAGAATCTCGACCGTCATCTTTGGTGATGTCTGGATCTCAGTATAATAATGTTCTGAGACAAGAGAAGGTAGAATATGTCCTAGATCAGCGGTACTTGTTGATATCCTGTTTAAGGCATTCTCTTTATTTTTAACATTTTTTTCTTCTGTCTTATGTCTTAATTAATCTAGTGACAATATCTACTGCTTTTCTCATCATATTTGTTTCTCCTAATGACATGTATATTGTTTGGTCACGTCTTTTCCCTTGTCCTTTTTTTATTTAGAGTAACCACGGTATTTCATTCCCTCTTAATTATGTTTCTCCCTCACATCATCACACTCCCACAAATCACACAAATGTTTTCTATTTCTTTCTGTTCTTTGTGACTGTTTGGTTTTGAATTGTCGCATTCACATGACCATTTCCAATTTTTTTTATCAACTCAATAACATCTACAAGAGCATGGTTGATTTATTTGTTGTTATTACTTCTACAGAGTTTGTCGAGACCTTTGTGGACCAGACACTACAGCGGGCAACAGCAACACTTATTATAGAACTCAAACCAAGGACCATCACGACGTACGTATACAAACTAGGGTCCTTAGCGTCAAACCGTACACCATCACTACGTATACAAACTAGGGTTCTTAGCGTCAAACCGCACGTCATCACGACGTACGTATACAAACTAGGGTTCTTAGTGTCAAACCGTACACCATCACTACATATACAGACAAGGGTTCTTAGCGTCAAACCGTACACCATCACTACGTATACAAACAAGGGTTCTTAGCGTCAAACCGTACATCATTACGATGTACGTATACAAACCAGGGTTCTTAGCGTCAAACCGTACACCATCACGACGTACGTATACAAACTAGGGTTCTTAGCGTCAAACCGTACACCACCACGACGTACGTATACAAACCAGGGTTCTTAGCGTCAAACCGTACACCATCACGACGTACATATACAAACTAGGGTTCTTAGTGTCAAACCGTACACCATCACGACGTACGTATACAAACTAGGGTTCTTAGTGTCAAACCCTACATCATCACGACGTACGTATACAAACTAGGGTTCTTAGCGTCAAACCGTACATCATCACGACGTATACAAACTAGGGTTATTAGCGTCAAATCGTACACCACCACGATGTACGTATACAAACTAGGGTTCTTAGTGTCAAACCGTACATCATCACTACGTATACAAACTAGGGTTCTTAGCGTCAAACCGTACACCATCACTACGTATACAAACTAGGGTTCTTAGCGTCAAACCGTACATCATCACGACGTATACAAACTAGGGTTCTTAGCGTCAAACCGTACATTATCACGACGTATACAAACTAGGGTTATTAGCGTTAAACCGTACACCCTCTCGACATACGTATGCAAACTAGGGTTCTTAGCGTCAAACCGTACACCATCACTACGTATACAAACTAGGGTTCTTCGCGTCAAACCGTACACCACCACGACATATACAAACTAGGGTTCTTAGCGTCAAACCGTACATCATCACGACGTATACAAACTAGGGTTCTTAGCGTCAAACCGTACACCATCACGACGTATACAAACTAGGGTTCTTAGCATCAAACCGTACACCATTACGACGTACATATACAAACTAGGGTTATTAGCGTCAAACCGTACACCACCACGATGTACGTATACAAACTCGGGTTCTTAGTGTCAAACCGTACACCATCACGACGTATACAAACTAGGGTTCTTAGCGCCAAAAAGTACACCATCACTACGTATACAAACTAGGGTTCTTAGTGTCAAACCGTACACCATCACGACGTATACAAACTAGGGTTCTTAGCGTCAAATCGTACACCATTACGACGTACGTATACAAACTAGGGTTCTTAGCGTCAAACCGTACACCATTACGACGTACGTATACAAACTAGGGTTATTAGCGTCAAACCGTACACCACCACGATGTACGTATACAAACTAGGGTTCTTAGTGTCAAACCGTACACCATCACGACGTATACAAACTAGGGTTCTTAGCGTCAAACCGTACACCATCACGACGTATACAAACAAGGGTTCTTAGTGTCAAACCGTACACCATCACGACGTACGTATACAAACTAGGGTTCTCAGTGTCAAACCATACACCATCACGACGTATACAAACTAGGGTTATTAGCGTCAAACCGACATCATCACTACGTATACAAACTAGGGTTCCTAGCGTCAAACCGTACAACATCACCACGTACGTATACAAACTAGGGTTCTTAGTGTCAAACCATACACCACCACGACGTATACAAACTAGGGTTCTTAGCGTCAAACCGTACACCATCACTACGTATACTAACAAGGGTTCTTAGTTTCAAACCGTACACCATCACGACGTACGTATACAAACTAGGGTTCTCAGTGTCAAACCATACACCATCACGACGTATACAAACTAGGGTTATTAGCGTCAAACCGTACATCATCACTACGTATACAAACTAGGGTTCCTAGCGTCAAACCGTACAACATCACGACGTACGTATACAAACTAGGGTTCTTAGTGTCAAACCATACACCACCACGACGTATACAAACTAGGGTTCTTAGCGTCAAACCGTACACCATCACTACGTATACAAACTAGGGTTCTTAGCGTCAAACCGTACACCCTCTCGACGTACGTATACAAACTAGGGTTCTTAGCGTCAAACCGTACACCATCACGACGTATACAAACTAGGGTTCTTCGCGCCAAACCGTACACCATCACTACGTATACAAACTAGGGTTCTTAGCGTCAAACCGTACATCATCACGACGTACGTATACAAACTAGGGTTCTTAGTGTTAAACCGAACACCATCACGACGTATGCAAACTAGGGTTATTAGCGTCAAACCGTATACCACCACGACGTACGTATACAAACTAGGTTTCTTAGTGTCAAACCGTACACCATCACGACGTATACAAACTAGGGTTATTAGCGTTAAACCGTACATCATTACGACATACGTATACAAACTAGGGTTCTTAGTGTCAAACCGTACACCATCACTACGTATACAGACAAGGGTTCTTAGCGTCAAACCGTACATCATCACGACGTATACAAACTAGGGTTATTAGCGTCAAACCGTACACCATCACTACGTATACAGACAAGGGTTCTTAGCGTCAAACCGTACACCATCACTACGTATACAGACAAGGGTTCTTAGCGTCAAACCGTACACCATCACTACGTATACAAACAAGAGTTCTTAGCGTCAAAACGTACACCACCACGACGTACGTATACAAACCAGGGTTCTTAGCGTCAAACCGTACACCATCACGACGTACATATACAAACTATGGTTCTTAGCGTCAAACCGTACACCATCACGACGTACGTATACAAACTAGGGTTCTTAGCGTCAAACCATACACCACCACGACGTAGGTATACAAACTAGGGTTCTTAGTGTCAAACCGTACACCATCACTACGTATACAAACTAGGGTTCTTAGCGTCAAACCGACATCATCACTACGTATACAAACTAGGGTTCCTAGCGTCAAACCGTACAACATCACCACGTACGTATACAAACTAGGGTTCTTAGTACAAACTAGGGTTATTAGCGTCAAACCATGCACCATCACGACGTATATAGGGTTCTTAGTGTCAAACCGTACACCATCACTACGTATACAAACTAGGGTTCTTAGCGTCAAACCGTACACCATCACGACGTACGTATACAAAC